TCCCTACAGAATTGTTGATCGCCTTCCAGTAATTATGCACCAGCATCGCACGGCCCACATCCATCCTCCCCCGAGACCGTGGGTTATGTGCATTGCGGTGGTCTGTGATTTTTGTGGTCACGTTTTCCTGCGTGAGCAGCAGAAGAGAGAGAAGAGCAACAGAAGCACGAGCCAGGTAGCCTGGTGGTGTTCAGGGTTTTCCATTGGTACAGCCCTTGGTGTTTCCTCCCCACAAGGTTTATAAGCTCAGTCCACACTCTCAAGCTCTTTTTCAAAAGCCAGTAAAATAACCGAGACCTGCAAAGAAACTTCCAGCTCAGCAGCGAAGCTGGAACTGAGCTTTGTCCTGCAGCACTTGGTCTCTCGTCCAGCTCTCCCTTTGCTCTGAGTCTTTAGAGGGGAAAAGGAAAATACGCAGGAGCAGAAAGTGGCCGGACTGAGGCCATTTCTGATTTTCCGCTCCCCTTCACAGCTCCTAAACGGCTCTAAAAGGATGGGGAGAGTTTCACACCAGGCACCTTTGCTCTGGCTTCAGTGAAGCAGCTCAGCCCCGGCAGAGGCAGAGATCAGAGCAGGGCTCCGTGCTCCAGCACATGGGGAAGAGAGGAGAGGACCAGGTCACTTGGGTGAGCGCATCTCCCAGCACATGGGGAGCGTGGTGGTCCCAAGCCCTCTCCAAGCCAGAGGAGCTGCAGATGCAGAGTGATGCCCGAGCACGGCCCTTCCTCTCCTTTGCTTGCCATAAACCATGCATTCACGCGCGCACGATGGGGTGATTTCCTTTTGGCTCTGCCACGTCAACGCGATGGGGATCTGCTCCCATGGCTCCCCTGAATGAGGGGACAAGCGGAGCCGAGGACTGGAAAGCTTGGAGAAACCCAGGTCAAGCTGGTCCTCGGGAGCACTCACGAAGGAGAGGGCTGGGGCCGTTTGCTCAGCCCCAGGACAGAAGCTGGCAGAAGACATCTTCTCAAAGGGACTGGCTCTTCTCCCTTCTCTCCTGCACTGAAGGGCAGAGTTTGAAGCGTTCAAACCTATATATTTTTGTATGTAAATATTCCTGCTATTCATTAGCAATGTATTCAGCACATTTCACTTACCTGTGCACTGCACTACGGGGAAGTAGTTTTGGAGGGGGGGCGGAATTAAGAAAAAAAGAAAGAAAAAGCTAAAGGCCAGTCTGGTAGGGGGTCAAAACTCAACACAAAGCAGGAAAACGCCTCCCACCTGGATAGCCCCGCGCCACAGCTTTATCCCCACTCTGGCAGCGTCGAGTTCAGCTCTTTATTGCAGCAAGGCTCAAAGAACCGGTCCCGGCATTCACGATGGCTTTTGTGAGCGCGTTGCTTCCCAGTTGCCCCAAGAGACGAGCAGCAGGTCAGTGACCTCGCCTTTCTGTCCTTTGCAGAAAATAAATGTGGCGAAAACACGGGGCAGCGGCGAGGCTTTGGCCGCCGGGGCTGCCATTGCCATCAGGACGCCCCGGCAGAGCATCTCCAGGCAGTCGGGTTTTGGCATGTGCCTAAGATCCCCCTTCCCAGCGAAGAGATGCCAAAGTCCTTTAATGAAACAGGTCCAAAGACTTTCCAAGAGAACCCTACAAAGGCTTGAGATCAAGGAACCTTAAATCCTTCCGAGCAGAGACCAGTGAAGATATTAACTGCTCAGCAAGTGCTTACAGTGATTTATATTTGAATAGGAATTGTACATTTATTTATTTTTCCAGACACCATATTTTTAAACCACTAATATTTTATAGTAGATTCTTCCTTCCCCTATTTAAAGAACTATTTCCATGGAAAAAACAGTATGTTTTTTATGTTGCAAACATTCTTTTTGCAAAAAAAAAAAAAAAAAGAAAAAAAAAGAAAAAAAATCAGGTAGGAAATGCAGCGATGAGCATCTTTGGCCTTAATCCTTCCCTTTGTAGACTGTAGTCATAATTGTTAGACCAAAAATAAATTAAAAAAAAAAAAAAAAAAAGAATCAACCCAGGCATTTCCTCCCTCCCCCACGCTCCTCTTCTCTCCCCCAAAACAGCTTTAACATCCGACACGTTGTACAAAGAGATTATTGCTTTTACCTTTCGGTGAGAGTTTTACAAGCAGCTCAGATGTCCTTGCAAGAGACTTTTCTATTTTCAGATTCACAAGGAATGTGTAAATAGTTTAGGACCATTTATCTCCCGCTCACAGTGCCATGACCCAGCTGACGAGGTTGATACTGCGACTGTTGCCTACAGATCACATACAGGAGGAGACGCAATCCATAAGGGACTGCAGGAGAACCTATTGCCCAAGGCGGCTGCCTGTTGAACCCTGCACATATAATAGAGCTCTTATGAACTGTATAGTAGCATCTCTCACAGGGACAGGAGTCTGATTTACACTGGAATTTACTGAGGAACTGGACTGTAGAGATTATTCTTGCATTTTCCTACAAATATATTTTGAAAGCATCATGTATTTCTGTCAATAAACATTCTTACGTAAAAGACTTGTTTCTTGGCTGAGTGAACAGGGGTGAGGGGAGCAGAGCCGGTGCTCAAGAGCCGCAGCTATCCGTTACGTAGATGTTACAACCAGCTACAGCTTGAGCTTGTTTGGAAACCCAGGCTCTGCATGGTCCTGCTAGCGAGAACACGTGAAACCGGCAGACAAGCAGGAGCAAAACCAACACAGACCTTCAGAGGTAGCCAGCCATGGAGGAGCTGGTATTTTCCCATGCAGAAGAAAGTAGGATAGTGGTGAAAAACTTGCCTTAATTAAAAAAAAAAAAATAGAAAACCCAGAGGGGTGGGATGCTGAGTTGATGTGGGCAAGGGCAGCCCCACCGCAGCCAGAGCACTTAGAATCAAAGAATCATAAAATCGTTTAGGTTGGAAAAGACCTTTAAGATCATCCTTGTTTGAACTGTTAGCATCTTTAGGCTCATGCTGGAGGGAAGGGAGAGGGAGCTCGCCCTTGTTTCTGCATTTCATCCCAACTCACTCCTAGCCTGCAACCTCTCCTCACACTTAGGTCAGGCAGTGGAGGAGGGAACCAAACCTCACACCCCTAAGCCAAAACACCCGAATGAGAGGGGGACGTCACGCAAGGGCAACAGCAGGGTCAGCAACAGCGTGGGCAGTTCAGCATCTCTGTTTGCCCTCAAGGGCCCAAAAGAAAACACTTTGTTCCAGGTTAAGTTTCCACTTATGCCAAGGCGGGGGGGGGGGAAGAAGAATTTTGTTTGATTTAAATATTAGAGGTTGGTGTTTTGCATTACTCTATGTTCTGTATTCCTCCCCAGTAAAAGTTTTTAGTTTAGTGCTGCTAAGCACACACTGGATTTATGGGGTACGGACCCAGCCCATCACCTATTTCAGGGAACACGGTATTTTCTCCGCTGTTCCGCAGTGCAGAGGGACACGGCGGGCTCCTCCAGCAGGAACAGTGCCTGCCGCCCAGATGGAACGCACCACCGGTTTCACAATTTCTGCACCACTGCTATGAGACCTTCACAGACTTTTTTTTTCCATTCTCAGAAGCAAGCAATATTAGAATGAACAGATCTTAAATAGACACCCTTGCTAGCATATACATTTTTATTAAGAAAAAATGAACAAAATACATTCTCTCCTTATGTACATTACATACAACATAACTACATTTGTAGATATTCCTCATATCACTCATTCATTTATGTACAGCACGGGGCTTATCTATCAACCGAGAAATTATCAAAGATGCTTTATGCCAAGGAAGAAAATTAACACTCCAGGCTGAACAAAGATCATCTGTTTATCTGTAAAGAAAAGGGCAGGATAGGGAATCACCAGAGTCCAGGAACAATGCCTGTAGTCACCATGGGCTCAACACAGGACTAGTCAATATTTGACTTGCTTATTAAAACATATGTGCAGTTCACAGCATTCATCACCCCACAGACGCTCCTTTCTAGCTGGCTGCACCTCTCAGTTCAGCTCTCCTGCGGTCAGGTGTCCGAGACAAGGACTGCAGGACAGACACCAAAG